AGCAGCACACGGGTAGCGTGCGCTGCTGAAGAGCAGAGCCAGGCTGCCCAGAGCCGCACTGTGGCTACCAGCCAGGCTCTGCCCAGCAGGATCACTGTTGCTGCAGCCGTGGGAAGCCCCCAGAGCCCCAGTTAAGGCTGGTGGGGCCAGCCCAGTGCTGGCCCTAGCCTCTCCATCTGCCCCCAAGATAATTTGCCACGTACCAAAAATGCACATGGCACGGACATTCCCTGGGGGCATGTAGCTGCGGCGCATGGTGCACCGCTGCTGCTTGTCCCCAAGGAACCAAATGTCTGGACGCGGCCTTTGTGTCCAAAATCTTGTTTAACATCTCTCCCAACTATACAGTTGGTCCAATAAAATATATTCCCAAAAACTTCTTGCTGCTTGCACATTTCCTTGACCACTCCAACCCTATTCAGGGAGAAGAGGCAGGAAACGTATACCAGGTTGGGAGGATTTTCTTCTTTAAGTTTTCACAGTTAAGCCTGCCTGATGTCTTAGCCCTAAAGGAAACTTTCAGTGACTTCAGAAAGCCAGGATGTGATGCAAAGCCCATTGCAGTCTCTGGGAATCTTTCCATCAACTCTGAAACAGGTTTTCCTGGGCAGTGGAGTCATCTGGGAGTCCATATAGAAAACGGTCACTAGTATTGTTGGCAGGGTGTGGGGATGGACATCCTTGTACCCTGGTATAATGTATACTGTTTTATCTACTGGTGTAAATTATATGGAGCTCAGGAATGGATAGACTTGCAGTTATCCTGGGATAGGCAGGCAGCTGTAATAGGTGGGGAGGAAGTCTGTAATTTCCTGTTTGCTTTCATCAAATGAGATGGACACTTGTAACTATTTCAGGGGTAATTCTCTACTGTATTGAATAGCCTAACCCTGATTTAGGGGCTGGTGTGATCTGTCCATTCCTTATACTGGAATAACATTGATTACACCATAAACATTATCTGTCTGTCTATCCCCTGAGTCTTGCTGCCAAGAACCTTGTGCGTTTCATAGAAGCTCTTTGAGGGAAGCTGGCATAGAGGTCAGCCAGTGAAGTGCGTCAGCCTTTTAACATTTTATGCACCTAAAATATTGAAATTCTTCAGCACTTAAGCATCTGGGGTATAATGAGCTAGTTCCACTTCACACACATTTTCAGCAGTATATTGGAAAATGAAGGTTGTCTGTATCTCTCCAAGTCTTGGGGGAGAACAGGTGCTTTGCAAGGGGTCCTGTGCTTGCTGGCTTAACTTGAGCATCACCGCCTGCTCTTGCTAATCGATGCTAACCCTCAGCATGGGGCCTTTGCTGAATAGGATGTCTTGATGAGGGAGATCCTGCTCTTTCTGTCAGGTTGGTGTGAGCAGGCTCCCACTAGCTTTGTTGGCTCAGGACAGGGGCAGAGCTTGACATTCAGATCCATCTGTTCCCCTGCTTTACCTGTGGCTGGTTAGGGTATTACATCTTGCATTGTGTCAGGGTTGATGATAGTTTTACATATTCCAGATTTCTATAGGATGGTTTGGATAGGGATGATCTTGTCTTAGGCAGGGAGTTGGACTAGATGACCCCTGAAAGTCCCTTCCAGCCCTACTTCTGTATGATTCTGTGACAGCAACAGCAAAGCCAAAGCCTATTAACTCCCTTTTCTAGTTTCCAATCCAGCTGTCTACAAACCAGCGCTTGACAGTTTGCCCGCTCAGATGCACCTATGGGTTTAAAGGCAGTTGTTTGTACTAGCAAAAGGGCAGATTGGAGATTGTGAAAAGGTCAAAAGGGAGGGGCAGTCATTTTAAGCTGATCATAACAGGAAAAATATTTGTTCCACAGTGGAAATTATGGCCCAAATCCCTTACACTAATCATTGAAACATTTAAAGGGAAATGCCCATATATTTGTCTGTCCTACAATAGGATCTTGGAGTTAAGTCATGGACCTAGGGGCCTGATGTACGTACCGTGATAGGTGGTGGTCATGGCACGGTGGTTGCCATTCTATGAAAAGAAGGCCGTGTGAACACAGTGCTGGGGGAAGCTAGTTACAACCGAACCAGCACCCCAAAATGTAATGTGTGTTTGTACACACTGATACTACAGCTGCTCTCCCTTGTCATCAGGCTGTACAGGAATGAATTATGCCCGTGCCCATAGCATTACATTTTAATACAAATGGATGTAACGTAGTAGTAACGGCCGTGTTGCTCTGAAAGCTTATCCTCCTAAATCTACAAACTGATCACACATGCAGCATGCTACACTGCAAGCCCAAATAGTCCCCCAGGGTGTCTGGGCAGGGTGATAATGTAAAAGGAATGTAGGGGTGTAATCAAAAAGGAGGAAAGAAATACTCTGCAAAGCGCCTGCTCCAGTCCCCGGTGTGCTCTTGTACGTACATCATCCTCCCTTCTACACACAATCCATTCTCCCTCCATCTCTCCCTCCCTCCACACAGAGGCCCAGCCTTCCTCTCCCGTCGCACTTTTCATGCCAGTCACACACGTTCTGATACGCAGGCTAACACCCTCCACAATAAATCTAAAAGATTAATTAAAACTCCCCCAGCCCCTCATGCCGCATTTAGAATGCTTCTCGAATGCTCTTTGGATGGGTTATTCACAGTGAAAATAAATAACCTCCTGAATCAAGCGATTTTGAAAATGCAGGCGTCTCACACTAGTTCAAAAGAGAACTTGGGCCCTGGCCTGTAGGGCCGGGTATCCGACAGCTTCGCCGGTCGCTGTATAAAATTTCAAGACCTACGTTCGGAGAATTTCACAAGAAATGATCATCTTGGTGTCCCTCTCTTGATTGTGAATTACCACTGTTTAGTCTTAGGATATGTTTTCTTGCTGAACTAATGTTATCTGGGGTTAGTCTGATGAGATCTTTCAGGCTTTTGTTTCCCATCATTGACTAGCTGGGGGGGTTTGCTTGTTTTTTTGCAAATTCCAACTCCTTACAGGGGCTGAAACAAAGATTTGCTTTTTTGCTCTCTCGTGAGTAGGGAGGATGGGAAAAGCACAGCACAGCAGTTTCTTAAAGCTGTTGAAAAACTGTTCGGGTGCTTGGGGTGGAATTGACCTTTTGCTTGGAATAAAAATGTTACAGTTGATATCTTTTTTTTTTTTTTTTTTTTTTTTTTAACAGCACTTTTATTTATTTGTGTTTTTCTCATAAGGAACAGGAATGATATCCTAGTCCTCTTTAGTTTGAATCCCAGCAGTAGTACCTGAAACCAAGCTTTGCAAGTCATTGTGCAAATAGGAATTGAACAGGATGTGGAAGGACACACACACCCCCCCTCCCACCCTGATCATCAATCAATGAACCATAATCCTCTACAGTGGTGTTCCCCATCTGTTGGGGAGTAAGGAAAATAAACCGCTTTCCTGTTGCATGATGCCTGTTTGGTATAACTCATTATACCTAATGACTTAGGTATACATTAGCATTTTGGAGTTCAGGCTATGATTTGCAGAGCTATCTAAAGAACTTAGATGCCTAATTCCTAGCCCTTAAGTTCCCCTAGATAGCTTTGCAAACTGCAAGCTAAAGGCTGTGATTCCAGGTTCAGAGGAAGACATAGATCCTATGTGCCCATACATTGAGCTTTTGGCTCCTGGCAACAGAGGAGAAGATCAGCTTCTCAACTTTCACTTAAATCCTTGTTTCTAGCCTTCGTGGACACAGGAAAAAATCTTGAAAGTTTGTTATGAATGTAGCCCACATCCATCTTTATGGTAAGGAAGTGTATTCTGAGTATGCAGATCTTTTATCTTGAGGAAACTTGATTTAGTACAAAATAACCGGCTTGTGAGGGCAAGCCCTAAGTGTGGTAAAGAGCTGGAAATAACCCTCAGATGTGAGCTGCTCTGCTTTAGTGTGCTAGTACCCTCTCCTAGGGACTGTTGCATGGGAGCAGGCTCTGGGGGCCCTGTGTGGGCTTTGCTTTGCTTTAATTCAGTCCTGCCATCTGATCTGGGTGGGCAAACCCAGGCACCCATGTGCAGTGCTGTTGACATCACTGGGACTCCATAGGGCCGTAAGGCTCAGGTTTGGGGGGCTGTTATGAGGTTAGATCCTGCTCCTGCAACTTACAGCTGGTGGGTGGACTCCTGTTGGCCTCTGAGCATTGGAGCCAGCCTGGCATTAATCATTAACTACTCTTTGTCTGATGATTCAAAGCTCTACAGAAACCCCTTTTAACCCTTACCTCGTTCCACTAAAGGATCTGCTCACTGTTCAGGAACAGACTATAGGCACAAAACATTCACAGAATCAGGCAGAAATGTTGAAGATTTCAAAGTTTGTATTTCACCAAGTTTCTTGTGCAAATCCAAACCATTCCCCTGAAGTATCTGATGCCCCAATCCCAGTGCTACCACATGCAGGAACCTAGCTCAGGGTACAAACGAAACCTGCCTATGGTGAATGGTGGACAGGAAGCAGAGATAGAGTTAAGGGGTAAAAAGGAAATTAGCTTTAATAATTCACAGGTGGAGTTAATGACAGTGGGAAGGACAGTTGAAAAGAAACTATTTTTAACTGTCAACTTCCTTCCATAAATCTAGATGGCTCCTAAGTTAAATATTTGAATTGCTCCATAGTTTGTGTATTTATTTCAGGTTAGTTGCACATTAAGTGGTCACTGACATTTCCCCTAGCTTCCAAGTATTGCCATCCGGCAGGGGCATACTCTACCCTCCAACATTTATTGACAAAGAGTAATTTCCTTCCAAGATTTTGCCTCCAAAATCTTCACCCCTTTTCCTTACATAATGCCCAAGGAAGAAGATGCCAGTAAGAGCTACATGAGTTACCCTAACACAGCTTGCCTGATGATTCCTTGTTAATAGGAAATAAATTTTGGAAGACATTGGTAATCCTCACCATATTGGGCTGGGAGGTGGTGAGGTTGTGATCTGAAATCTTGTATCTTTCCATTTTGCTCCTCATAATACAAACCTTGTTCCTTTTTTTTTTTTCTTCTTAATCTCCATAGAGTGCCATGACTGGTGGGGACTCGCTTGCAGACACAATGGCTCTAAAGTTCCTCCTGACTGCATTTGCTGTTCTGCTGTAGACAATCTCCAGATAATGAATGACCTGGGACAGTTACCAGAGAAACTCCACAAGTGTCAGCCTCTCCTAATCAAGGTAAAGCATGTATTTTAAGGCTGGAAGGGACTGTTATGATTATCTGATCTGAAATCCTGCATAGCACCAGGCAGAAAAACCTGCTCAGTAACTTCTTCAAATTCATAACTTCTGTTTGAGCTAGAGCATATGTTTTAGAAAGGCATTCAGTCCCTAGGTAAACTGTTTCAGTGGTTAAGAACCCTCACTGTTAATCATAACAGTCTCTATAGCTGCCAGTATTCTTGAAGGGGTGGAAATGGGAAAGAAAATAACCCAGGTTCATGCCCTTAATCTTTTTCTTATGTTTGTTTAAGACAGGGCAGTATCTGTCATATGAAGACCTGAAGCATTTTCAGTCCCAGTACCCAGAATTGGCAGAGGTTACAGTAGAAGAAAATGCAGCCGACCTGTGGAGCTGCCATCCAAGGGATGAGTTCCCTTTTGTCTTCCCTCGGTGAGTTCAAGGCAAACTGGAGTGGTGGAAGTTGTATACCACTTTACCCCAGGAGGGCCCAGCCTTTGGTCAGTTCAGATGATTACCCTGGGCGGGAGAGCTCCATCTGATGGGAGAAGAAAGGAGAGACGGTTGCAACCTCCCTTCTTCCTAGCAGAGGTGTAGTCTGTGGAGACCATTGGCTCTGATGTGTAATGCTTTAGTTTGATCTAAGTGGACAGTTGTTCTGCTCAAGATGGAGAATTGCATGTGGGTCTCTGCAGTCTGTGTGGGCTGTTCTTCATATTAAAGGTCAAGGCATTCTTGTATGACTTCTTGGGCTTTCTATGGACCATCTGGTCTCAATTGGAAGAAGCAGATTTGAAAGGACCCCATTTTTTTCAGTTGAAACTGTTTGATCTTGAAGTATAGAAGGGGGCTGACCCTTCTTTGATCTGTGCTAAAACTCTTAGTATGTCTAAGGCTTTGGCACAGTTTGAAAGCCCTGTAAGGTCCCGGTCTGCACAGAGCAACACTATGCTAAATCTTTCCATTCTGCCTGTCACTGCGGGGCCAGTCTATTTTGTATGAGTCCCCCTGGCACTTATGTGAGTGGTTGGTGCCGTACTTAAAGCTGCTTTTCTCAAAAAGGGCAGGTGTGAGCAAAGGAGTGTGGTGAAGCTCAGCAAGGGTACAATGGATTCTGTATGTTGGTCAGTGGTTAAGCAGGCTCTTTAAGTGAAAGACGCAGCATTCACTAACAGTCATCAGTAATGGCAGGTGGATGATCTGTATATTGACACAGATGTATTAACACTGTCATCCCATCAGGCAGCAATTTAAAAATGACGTGCCTCACCCTAACTCTATCCTGTATTTTCTGGCCTCATGAATAGGCTTGGATGCTCTGCACATTATCCATGTGGTTTCAGTTAGTGTCATACAAAATGCCACCTCCACATTTTTTTGTAATGACTTTGTTTGATTAATGATGTAGAATGCAAAGGGAAGGGAGAGAAAGAGGTACTCTTTAGATCTCTGCAGTGAGGAACAAACCCTTTGATCCCAAATCATCATGTTCTACCCCCCGTTCGAAGGTGCCTTGCTCCATCAGTGAGGGATGAGACCAGTGCACAGGGCTGGAAGCCAGGGAGCCTTGGGTTCTAATCCAGCTCTGACAATGACTCCACATGAAGAAGTTACTTAACCTGCCTGAGCCCCAGTTTTCTTGCCTAAGGTGGGGCTATCAATATGCATCTGCCAAGCCCACAGTGGTGTGGAGAATGAATGTCTGTAAAGCACGCCGTCACAGGATGCAGCCTTGTAAGTGCTTGCTATTACAGTAATGTTAGCCTTTAAAATGTTTTCCAGGAACAAAACTCAGATTCTCCAGGAACTCTTTCCTGCCTTCTCCCTGCTGCCCTTCCTCCAGGCAGTCTCCCTAGAAAGCTGCTTTCTCATCCACCATCCAGAGTTACAGAATAAGGTGAGAAATCCATTGCAACAATGCTTTCCTCTTATGTGTGTGCTTGGCACACTGTCTGCACGGGCTGTAGGTCTGGCAGGGACTCCTCAGGGGATCCTTGTGTATCACCTAAGCCATGAGGAGAGTAAGGCCTTGTACCTATATGTTCAGCACAGAGCCGATGTCATTCCCCTGTAGTGCAGTTGGCAGCAGACGCTCCATCCAACTGTTTAAGTTGGGAAACGCAAGTGGGGATACCAAAGTTTTGTCCCTGTTTCTGTCTCCAACTTGCTGTAGGACCTTGAGGGCCTCGGTTTTCTTATCTGAACAATGGGGACAAGGCTCAGCTTCTACTGAGGAAGATTGTGATGCTGGTTTGGCATAACTGCTCATACCCATTTTGGGTGATAGACTGGGGGAAAGGAATTCCCGACTGTGTTCCACTGTCTGCCCATTTGTTCTCTGTCTTCTCTTCCCTTGGAGTCCCATGTTATCTCCCCTTCTCATTTTTTTATCTGTTGGGATGTTGGAGTTTGGAGAAATAGTGAGTGAAGGAGTGGATGTACAGTGCAATCAGGGCTTTGACGTGCTTTTGTTTTGCTAAACCCATAAGTAGTAGTTGTCTGTGTAGCACCCACCTGCCCACATCAGCCTTGCAGAAGATCGCAGCTGGATTCTGGCTCTGAGGACAGGGAGGAATTCTGACCAGTGCTCCCCATGTCTCCCTCTCCCTTGTGTTGCAGACCCACAGACTGCACAGTGTGTTTGCTGTCGGAAATGGCCAGTTGACCTTGAGCATCATGCCTTCTGACAAGTGCAGAGAACACTGCAAGACACTGAAGGTGGAGCTAGAAGCTGGGGATTTTGGTGAGTATCAGTGCTGCAGCTCCAGACCCCTTGTCCCAGCTCCGTCTTACTCCCACTACCTCCGAAAGGAGTGAGCATCAGCTTCTAGCACCAAATAATTGCTCCTACATACTAGGCAACACTTCCACATAGCAAAAGAGAAGAATTAAACCCCAGCCCCTGTGGAGCATGAGCCATGTGACTCCTAATGATAGCACATGCAGCTTTGTGTCTAAGGTCTGGTCTGCACTGGAGTTCTGCCAGCACAGCGTTGAGTGTGTCCACACCCAAGTGTCCTCTGCGTCGGCAAAGCCCTCCGGTTGCCAACAGAGTTACTCCAGCCCTGCTGAGTGAAGTAAAACAGCTGGCTGAAGGTGCATAGAGACACTCCCTCAACCGTCTTCTGGCTGCCACAGTCCCTTCAGCCACTGGTGCCTTCCCAGAATGTAGTTGGCAGTCTGGCAGCACAGCTGTTGAGAAGCTGCATGGGGACCACCCAAAATGATTGGATAGGCATGTGCTTCAGCAGCCTGGCAGTGGTGGCTGTCTTCTGGTGGAGGAGGAAGGCATGTGTAAACAAGGCCAGTGGCCCGATCCTTTCCTCTTTTTTAAAATCCCCACTAAGTTCCCAGGATCATTTGATGTCCCGAGCACAAAGGAACTTCTTATCTGTGTTCACCAAATGGCTGTTGTCTCAGCATTTGTCTGACCGGGTCAGGGTCCATCAGTGCTTGGAGTGGAAACTATACAAGCATGGGCAAAGTGCTGTGGGTAATGGCACTTGTTATTAAGTGGCTCCTTGTCCTCTGAGTCATTGCTGATCAGTGCCCTGCTGTGGTGCTACAGCCTGAAGAAGGTGCCTTTGGGAAGGAGTTGTAAACCAGGGGCCCTGATCCTACTCTGTCCTAGACCCACGTCCATCACATTTGTGCATAAACGATGTCTAGTCATATGTCTGTCTAAGACCGCCTCTCCTTTGTGTTTCCTGAAGGCTATGCTAGCGAGGAGCACTGGACACTGAGCTTTCACTCCAAAGGAGCAGAACCTGTTGTGGTTTGCGATGGATCCACTAGCTAAGAGCTGTGGGGGTAATGAAGCTTGCTTCAGTGCAGGGACATTGCAGTGCTGGGGACAAAGAGACTGTGTATAAACACGCTAAGGCTGGTGCAGCTGAAATGTCAAAGGCAGGTTTGCCAACCTACACATTTACAGCGCAGGGGACCTTGCACTTAAAATAACTGTATTCCTGACTTCCGAGGTAGTGTTTGCCTTTTCTCAGAGATGCCTTGGAGAAACTAGAGCTGAAATGATCTGACCCTCAGGTAAGCCATGGATTTGCACTGCAGGTGTTTCCCTGAGAGCAAGCACGGGGGTTTCTCAGGACGAGACTTGCCTTGTGTCACTTGTGAATATCATGCTTTTGAAATTTCACAGGGAGCTGCAGACTGGAAGAAAATTGTGAATAAAAGTCTTCATCCCAAAGGGGTAATTTGGGGCCTGCTAAGGGGGTTGGTTTGCCACAGAGACAAATTACTGAAAAATGTCATGTGCTTTCCCCCTCGTAACACTTAGGTGGTTAGCCATGCTAGCCTGAAGTCACGGTGGCACTTTGGTTCAGAGACATGAGCTTTCATAGGCGACAGCCTACTTCATCAAGTGCCTACACCTGACCAAGTGAATTGTTGCCTCCAAAAGTTCAAGTCTCTCTGAGCCAGTCTCTGAGGTGCCACCCTGCCCTGCTTTTTGCCCCTTACAACATGCATCACTACGTGCCCCAGAAAGATAATAATGTAACCCCCCTCCCCCCCAACCCAGTTTGGGCTCTGTGCCACAGAGACAAAACAAGCCTTCCAGCCTGGGTTCAGAGACTGCCACCCAGCAGCATTCCTCTGCCAAGTGAATCTGTCTAGCCACTGACTCCTCTTATCTGGCTGCAAATGCTCTTCTGCATTTTCCCCAACAGCAGTGGCTGAATCCAGTGAATGGTCACTATATTTTCCCTGTGTCCAGAATGGTTGGCAGGAATGGGGCAGTTGTGACTCTGAGGGTATGGCGGCTTTGGGTGGAGCCCATCTTCGGTGCAGGGAAGTGCTGCATGAGGTTCTCCTGCCAGGTCTTCGCATCAGATCCGCTCTCCTGCTAGTTTCTCTGCTGAGTCCAGTCTCGCTTTGACCCCTCTGTTCAGTGACGGGAGATTTTGAGTCACAAACTTGGGAACTCAAAATCCTCAAAAAAATAAATATGTCACCCTCCTGCCAAGCCCCTTTAAAGTGTCCTAAGATGGCTTCCTAAAGCCATTATAGTCTTCTCTTGAAAATTTGGCTCCAGTCTAACAGTGGCCAAGGAAGCCTTAATCACAGACTTTGCTTGGGTATCACACTGCACTTGTTTGGGAAGTGCTGATGCAATTTCCCTGGCAAGTGTAGGCAGGATTTGAAGGAGGGCAGCCTCTTAGGGTTTGCTTTATCTGAAAGGTCCTTCTTCCCGTGTCGTTTTTGTATTGCCTTCTGTACCTCAGTGCTCCATTTCCCTCCAGAATGACCGTTGATATTTTTCCTGAGTCCCTTCCAAGGTGCCTCTACATGTTTCCTGTTGCTTGTGCGCTCCTTTGTCCAGTGCCTTAAGAGAGGATCGGTTTCAGCATGTGCAGGCTGCTGGTGCAGCGGTTCCTCCCAAGTCTGATCCTCTGGGTCTGTGTTTCTGCTGTGGAAGATCACTTACAGATGTGTCAGACTGAAGTCAGAGTCCAGGGCTGTGGTTCAGGACATAAACTCATGCTCGTTAATGCAGGATGCGTGGAGTTATGGTGTTTACGTTTGAAAGCAAGTTAATCATGTTAGGAGAAGCGAGACTCTCTTCATTTGTAAATATTTTTAGGTCTGTTTAAACTAACGGACTGGGAAGATTTCTCTCCATCCCTTGCCGGTTTTTAGCAAGAGGCGAGAAACAAAGGGTGCACATATTTATTATTTGTCACGATGATGATCAAAAGACCTAGACAGGTTCAGTGCCTCATTTTGATCCCTGTTCAGTAATCAGCACAGAGAAAGACAGCTCCAAAAAATATTCAGTCTGAGGGTTTGATCCTACTGACATTGTGCATATGCATCACTCGAGTTACTGCTGCTGAGTCTGGTGAGACTAATGTGTGTCTGTGCTTGCAGGATTGGCTCCTAAACAGACACACAGCATAAGCAGAATAGAACATAAAGGGGGATGTTCATGCACTGTAAAGGGCCAACTTAATTGGCAGCAAAGTGTCACCTGGAGTTAGGTTAGTAAAACTTCCAGTATTTCGGGTTTTGGTGTGGTTTAGCCTAATGATTTTATATGCATTGTTGTATCCATAGATGCCCCGCTTTAGCTCTGGATTCTACGGAGTTAATGGGAATTTTACCCTGCACTTTAATAACAGCAGGACCAGGCATTAGAAACATGAACTAGTGACTTGCTACTTCTACTTTGGCAGCTTCTCAAGTCAAGCTCGGAGGCTAACGAGGTTACCTCAGTCACTCGGCTTTTCTGTGCCTAGTCCCATTTATATAAAGTTTTAAATGGGAGATGCATGCAGCGAATATAGTGGACCGGGTGTTAAGAGTGTGGGTGGGTTAGTGATAATGTTGTTTCTAAGTGTCCTTGAATGTAACTTGCAGGAAGTTGCAGAGACAGTTCTCAGTTGTGGTTGAAATGGCTGTGTTTTGTGGACCACATCAGTGCAGCTCCCTGGCTGCTTTTTGGAAGGAGGGGAGATCAGTTGATCGATAGTACAATCAGGTTTCTGGCTCTCTAGCAAGAAGTAGATTTTGAAGCCAGTGTGTGCCTGCTAGAAGGGCTTTCCTGCCAATGGCTTCTCCCCAGTACAGAGAGGTCCTAGCAGAGCATTTGCAGCTGGTTGGACAGAAGATGGTAAATCTGTCCTGATTGCAGATTCACTTTCCAAGTGCAATTTATGGGCTCTGCATGAGTTTCCAGATCTGTGTCTGAGCGATTGCACTGCATACGTCCCAGCCTCTCTCCCCTTGGAGCTTACATCATTTGTTTTTGAACTCGAAGTATTTTTTTCTTGTCCTCTTCCGAGAGCTATAAGGAATTAAAGGCAGCATTAACTGCTGAACTAGAACAGGAGGACCTGAGTCTACTAATCTTTTTTCCCCCCCGCACTTAAGAATCAGATTTGGTGCTGTGTGAACCAGTGCCAAGCCCTGATCTGTAGCCAGATTTCAAGCCTACCCTTGTCCTGAGCAGCTGGGCAAACAGCATAACATCTTTAATGTGGCCTTAGCTGTCAGGGTTTGAGCTCTTGGTCAAATAATACTGAGATTGAGATTGTGTGCGCCAAAGTGAAACGTCAGCTCCTGCCGCCGACCCGTGCTGTCCAGGCTAGAGAGGTGAAAGGCTGCAGGCAAGTCCAGTCCCTCTCTCCCCTGCTGATTTTGTGTTTTGAGGTTACAACTTCACACAGCCGCCCAAGAAAGCCATTTCCAAAGGCTGTGGCAGGCTGGGTTGTGACCTAGGACCTGACAGAAAACATGTTTAAACCTTGTCCCTGCCAGCCACTTCCCAGGGATCAATGGAGGCTGTAACAGAATGGCCATCCTCTCGGGTAACAGAGCCACCTTAGCAGTGAACGTGGCTGGATCAGTTCATTGACGCTGTATATTCTGTTGTGTGTTTCTACCACCTCAAACATCACCTGGGTATTTGTGGGCCCTGTTCCCTTCCCAGTGTCTTGAGACAATCTCTGTGTGCACCAAGTTTCCTTGTGTTGTCTCTCCTTCACTGGCTTCTTCAAGGTGCCTGTTAACACCTTCCACGCAGATTCACCGCCCCCCCTGAAATTCTCTGCCAGCTTCGGTGCCAGCCCGGAGCTGGACATGTGATCACTGAAATGCCAGGGACTTGCGACCTGCTGTGAAAATCCACCAGCTGAAGCACAAAGCTGACTCCCTAACCCATTACCCTAATGGTCCAGGGTAACAGAATATTTTGCTTGCCAGTGTGGGAAGATCACCTGCTCCAGGTGAGTCAGTAGGGAGCATCTTGCAGAGGTTGGATTAAGGCCGACCTCTGGTAACAGAAGACACTGATGATCCCTCCGTCCCTGGTTTCTGAACTCAGGATCATCGAAGGCAGGAGAAAAGGAATCTTGTTACCATTCTTTCAACACCAGGAAATGTTCCAGCTTCCTCCGGGGCACTGGGGCTGCCAAGTCCTGCTGATTTTTAATAGGGCTTACACATGGAAATCCCCCAGGCAGTTTTACAGCTCTCAGTCTTGGACTTGCTTTGCAAAACCCCAGAGAGTTTTTCCAGGGGAAGAGCCCACTAAGTCACATAGTTTTCACTGCACTTAGCCCCTTTCTCAGCATCTGTTGCAAAGCAGACGCCCTCCAGCAAGGAACCAGGGATGGGATATTGGCTACATCTGCAAGGTTGACTTGGTCTTAAGCTGTCTCATTGCCCATAAGGGTGTGGAGCCAAGGGGCAGGTGGTTGCTGATATGTAGGGGGATAACTAATTTACATTGACCCTGCTGTGAAACCCCAGGGCAGGTGGGACATCTCTAGTTTTGATAGGAGTTACGTAGGTTCAGTCAATGCTGTGCTCCCTCATCTGGTTGGCTTCTCCTAGTTTGATGCCAAAGCTACAGGGCCTTGATTGTACAAGGACACCTAATGCACATCAGTTATACCCTGGTAAAAACTCTGCTCCCCTCCCCTGCCTTTTTTTCCCCTTATTTTTCCAGCAAAGACAAAGCCATGGAGTAGCTGAAGAGAAAATCAAGTGAAAAGGGCTGTGAATGATAAGAGAAAATTGGGTTCAAAGGGGATCCTACAGCCATTTCTCACAAGCAGTGCCGTAGTGAGTGGCCTGCCACTGTGAAGAGGGGTTGCAGGATCACGCCTCTCCTTGCAGCACGCTGAATGCCGTCTGCTCCATGTAATTCAGTGGAAGGCAGAGAGATTCGGGCCACAAGTATGGAGCAGCTGCAGCAGCCTTGCACCCATGACCAGAAAATAAGCCTCTCAGAGGCTTCTACTTTCTTCTCTTCACATATTTTCTACATAAAGCTACGTACTTACTTTGCTCTTCAGGGCTGCTGACCATAGGTCTTGCTGACCATAGGTCCGCTTCTCGGCCTCTTGAAGGCTCAGATCAAGTGTAGGTCTACTGTCATACTAAGCCAAACATGGGAGATAACTGGCTTTTCCCTTTGTTTTTGAGACTAGAACAAATGATAGTGTATTGTTAGCATCATCTTTGTGTAGGGGGGAAATAGGGGATATTATGGTTAATTGTAACATATTACAAAGGCTCAGGGCTGTGCTGGGGAAACAATCCTATATATATAGCTATATCTATATATATCTCTATAGATATCTATATCTATAGATGGATATCTGTAGATATAGATATCTATAGAAATACATATAAATACATTAAGACTGTTTTGAATTATGTACACTGTAAATTTGAGTATCTGTTAATGTAAATATGCAACAAATGCAGAATTTTATGGATGGTTATAATTTAATATATTGCAAACTTTGTAAATACTTGGCTGGGGGGGGCTGTAAAAAGTGTAAGTAACTCAGATTTGTATGTACAAATAAAAAAAGATGTTTTTATGTTTGTTTGGGGATTATTTTCTCCATTTGTTCCCTCCTTTGATTTCCTCTCCAAAACAAAAACGTGCTTTAATTTCATTTTGAAAATGGCACAAAGCAAAAATTAGACTTGGCTGACAACTCCCCCCCCCCCCCTCAGTTTTTTCTTGTGTCTTTTGTCCCCCACCTACCTTCCCCCTGTGCGCTGAAGCTGTGTCAGGTTCACACATGTCCCCACGTGCCAATGTATAACGTGTTATGTAACCAAGTTGTTTATCCTAGTTAATGCAGATGGGCTGTACGTCGCTGCCGCGGAGCAGAGCGGTTGAACAAACAAAAGCCACATTCCTTATGCCGTTACCTAACGGAGCCTGCTGGACTGGACGCAAGCTTCCCCGCACATGGGTGGAGGGGTTGGCCCTGGGTTTTTTTTTAATGTCTTTATGCTGTAGAAACAGGTTCCAAAGAAAACAATTGTGGGCGGGGGCCCAGAGTTGAGAAACTGCCTTCAAAGAGCTTCAGGGTTGCCAGCAGCTGTGAGTGACTTTGCTGAACACTTGACTATTACCAGCTATTTCGTGCTGTTAGCTCTGCACAAGGTTGACATTTGCTGGGGGCGTGCAGTTGGGGCCATGCACACAGCACTGCCAGACCTGCGGCCGTGTAGAGATGCCCGGAGGCAAGGCAGCAGGCTGGCATGCTCCAAACCTGGGCAGGCAGAGGGAGCAAGCTGCTTTGTGCTTAAAGACCCTCCAGGGTCTGAATTTTTTAACAAGAATGAGGATGTCTTTCCCCCTTTTCTCCCAGCCTTTATGAGGCCACATCCCAAGATCCTTTCCTCGTGGTTAACAGGAAGCTGCCTGGCATCATTTCTCTGGCTCCCGCCATCCCAAAGCATTCGGCAGTTTTGGACACTTTCCCTACTGCCTGTGGCCTAGGTGGGCTGGATATTGGTTGAGCTTGGGGGCAGGTGCACAGGAGAAGGGCTCGTTCTGAATCCCGAAGGATCCTGCAGCCAGGGAGACCCAAGGGGATGGCATTTCTAGGGCTCAAGATCTGTTTGATGACTTCCTGGCTGGTACTGTGCCTCCAACTTGTTCACCCGTCTCCCTTTCCCAGTCACTCAACTTCCTTCCCAGCAATTAATATTTTACCTAATTGGCACATCATGTGCTATTCCCATCATTATAATGAATTGTTTGTATTGCAAGAGCACTTAGGAGCCCCGACCATCGCCCTTTTGTGCTAGGTGCTATATAGACACAGAACGCAAATGGTCCTTACCAGTTTCCTAATTCCAACCTTTATCTCTAGACCAGGTTTAGAGAGATCTGCTTGCAGGTTAGGGACTTCTGCAGTGGTCCCAAGCCCATGTCTTGGTCCACAGAGAGATGGCTCCAGTTCCCCCGCTTTGCTAGCCGCTTCCACAGGTCTCCAGGTCCTTTATTGTAAAGGAAGAGCCAGCTCTGTGGCGGTGACTCTTCCAGTAGGTGAGAGGAAACAGGCACCACCTTTTGGGTGTGTGACTGCCAGAGGAAAAGGGTTGTTTAAGTTCAGACGTCTTCTCAACTGTGTCCTGTGGACACATGCCAGTTAGGCTTAAGCTGAGAGGATGTTTGAATTGTCTGAGATGTAGTTATGCTCAAAATGGACAGGACTCTGTCGTACTTGGGTGTTCAGGGCAAGAAAAGCAGCTACACTTTAGACTTGCATAAAACGGCAATTGTGTGCCTGCAGAACTCTGTTCACTGGTAAGGATGGTCCTCCCCAAAATGCTACGATCCAGAGGAAGACGCTACTCAGACCATGTTGGAGTGGAGAGAAAATTCCCAAGGTGATGAACAACTCCATCGTTCAGGAAGTAAACACGGTCAGAAAGTGATTGGATAATTAGGAGGATATAGCAGGTCCTGACGGTGAGAAGAGAAACGTAGGTAAAATAAAGTGTGTGTAAATGCATGTGAAGGCTCAAGGGGATGAATGGAGCAGAGCCCCCTTGAAATGAGGCACACGTGTCTACCAGGCGATGATTGAAACAACCTACCAGTGCCCCCCCTCCCATGTAATCCATTGTTACTTGGGTCTGCTGTCTGTTGCTAACTGTTGTACCTTTGTAATTAAAAGCAGAAGGTGTATTGGGGGCTGGGGAGGTACAAGGGGCAGGACAGCACAGACAGGATATAAGCAGACCTTGGGATTCATTTACAGCATGAGAAAAAGTTAGCAATACTCTGACCCTGAGACTGTTGTTCCCCAAAGGCAGCAGAAGGGGCTGCGATGGGGATGCAGCGCAATCACGTGTGCCGAGATCGCAGATGGGACGGGAGTTCTCCGCCAGGCAGACTCTCCAGAAAGATGTGCTCTCTGCTGTCACGGGATCTGGGGAACCCTTTGCTGACACCTCATTATTATTAGCTATGGGAGCACTCGTGATGTCGGAGCATAGCATGAGACACGGTCCTTCCCTCATAGAGCCTGTGCCTGAGTTCTGGAGACGAGACAAGCAGCGGGGACAACTGCAATGTCCCACCCAGATCCCAGGGCCTTGCCTGCCTCATGCATCATGAGTACGGCCCATGCCAGATCTGATATTAGATCTGATATTAGAAATCAGATCTGTCTGGCAGATCTGATATTAGAAATCGTAACCCAGTGTTTCTGCTTGCTGTTCAATGGCTGGTTGGTTCCTCCCTAGCTGCGGCTGCAGGCTGGTGGCAGGTGCAATGAGCTACGTGTCCATTTGGGGTTTGTTTGGAAAGTGCTCGGGCATCTTTTGGAAGGGGCATGGAAGTAAATAGTCACAGGGTCTCCTGTAGGATCATGGCCATGTTTTAGGTCTGAAATCAACAGCAGCGGCAGGACCAAGAGAGGGAGCTCCTGTGATTGTGGAGAAATTAAAGGGATTTCACTCTCAAGGTCAGTCTCAAGGACTGGGCACAGCTTACTTGTCAGTCCCTGAAGCAACATTCCCCTTCCATCAGTGACATTACATGGGAAGGGTGTGTTCCACGGGGCTCTGAAACGTATTCTAATAAAGATAAATTTCCTCCCCCTAATCTCAGCCTTTGGGTGTTCCTTGTTTTGGGAAGTGCTTTAAATCTGTCTGCCAGAGACATGGACTGCTAAAGCCAGAGCCTGACTGCCACAATGCTGAGCTCAGATCTTCCTCGCATTCTGCTGCTGCTCATGTCCGTGGAGCTGAGCTGGGGGTCCCTTAGTGATGAAGACGAGAGGATGATTTTGCAGATGCACAATCTCTACCGCTCTCGGGTTTCCCCACCTGCTGCAGATATGCAGAAGTTGGTAAGTGTCCCGTGGAAACCTTGGGGTCTTCCTGCACCGGGGTAGTGATGGTCTTCTGTATGGTGGTAAGAGAATCCTTTTGCAACTGGATATGAAGGGTCCCTTATATGTTGAAACAAAATCTTGTATATTATTGCAATGGGGTGGAAGGGGATCTTCTCTATAGTATTTGATGTCAGTGGGATTTGGGGGTGTTTCCTGCATTTCCTTTTAAGATAAGAGTATCGTTTGTCTTCTGAAAATGTAATTTTAAAGATGCCTTCAGGTTCACAAATGTAATTGAATTAACTAGAGATCCAGGGGCATGATGGCATTTCTTTTCCCACTAGAACTCCCTGGCTGAGCTATGTAGGGTGCACAGTTAATGGAAATTGCTTCAGTGAAGAAATTGCAAGAAGCAAATGACTGAACTTTCAATTCAGTGGCCGGAGCGATGAAATCCTGCCTGAGATCTGGTAGCAGCGTGTTGTGCAGTCCAGCGCACGTCACTATTAAATGCTTTCGATCATGAATAGACTCTGTTCTCCAGAGAGTGAAATACAAAACAACCCCAAGCACCAAATTTCTTACTTGATTTTGTCTCTAGTGAGTTCTTAATACTAGGTGCCGCTCTCACAATACTCTTGACGGGTGGGTTCAATGCAACAGGATCATCCCCTGTTTCACAATAGGGAAACCGAGGCATGAAGGCGTAACTTATCCCGGGTCGCACATGAAGACGTAACTTATCCCGGGTCGCACAGGGTGTATAATCTTTACAACCTCTGCTGCAATCTGAGCGCTGAGAGCCAAGCCCCACCACTCGCTCGCGCTTGACGTGCAATGTAGAGCAGGAACCATGGCTTGTGTCTCAAAGGCAGGCTTGAAATTGTGCACAGAAAGAGTCACGGCGGCGATTGAACTAGGAACGGGAAATCAGTCTTGCAACCCTGCTCTAACCGCTAGAGGGTGCTGCTACTTGGGTCCGAATCCTTGATTCCATTAAGACAATGGCAACTGGTGAATTAATACTTGCACCAGGCTTTGACGGTGGAGGGTGCTGGCTGCTGATGTCTGCAACACTTTCCCCCTGCAGCTGGTTCGTTATCATAATTTGACCCTTTTAGATCCTGCCAACACACAAGTTACCCTGCGTTAACTCCACTTTTGTGTGCAAACAAAACCCAAGTTACCTTCTCACTGCTTTTAGTTCAGGGATAACGGTTTGAAAAGCCCCCAAATGATTTAAGGACCCACGTCCCATTTTTGAAAATGTAGGCACGTGGGGTCCAGATCCTCAAGCGTATTCAGGCACCTAACTCAGTGGGATGAGCTCAGTGGGGGTTAGGAGCCTAAAAACCTCTGAGGGCTCAGGCCCCCTGACCTGTCTCCTTCTCACAAGAGACTTAGGCACTTAAGAAACAATGATCCTTAGGTTCCTGAGTAACTGAGAGTGATGTTGATCATTTCCCCGCTAGGTGCTTAATGAACCATGTTGTCTATTGTTTGTAATGCCCATCTGCATAACAACAAGGACCTTTAAATGCAGTCCTATTTGTTTAAAAAAAAACCTAGTTGCAAGCCAGTTTTCAGGGCAGAGGCAAGGATTTTAGCCAAGATGAAAAACTGATCGTTCTGGATTCTAGGCTTGCTCTGAGATGTGTTTCTGGCCTGACTGTAACTGGGGGATGTGCAGTGCACAAGCCAGCCCTGCATTTTGTGCTATAAAATGTAAGGGTAAAATCCTTGTGACCTGCTGCTGGTCAGTAGCTGAGGTTTTTCTGTAGCACGGGGAGTGTTTGTAAGCCACTTGGCCTAGAAACAGTCCTGGCAGTCCCCTATAAACACCCTGTTTCTACATGGCTCTCGCCTCCATCTGGATTCTTATGGCTCTTTTTCCCTTGGAGAAATAAGATCTGTGCCTGAGTTCACCTGCTTCTGTAGCCAACCCCCCCCGCTCTGAAGGCACCCTCTGCTTCTGTTTGGGACAGCAGAGCTGGTTGCCATGGAAATAGCTATTCAATGGGCATGCGCAGGCCAAAACCATATTTTTGGATGAAGCGACTAATGCAGAAGTTTAGTTTTCTGCCTGTGGAACCGAGCCCCGTGCAACAGGGAGGGAGGGAGGGATAGCACAGCCCTGAAGTCGGGTCTGCAGCTAGCCCCACAGACACGGCTCTGTGCTGATGCGGTGGGGAGCAAGCATCCCCATGCTTTAAACCTGCCCCCTCTTCTCCCTCTGACAGGCCCGGCTCAGATTTGACTGTGCTACATAAAGAAAAAGGAGCCCCCTCAGCCTGCTGTCCCTCTTTCACCCCACCACCTGCCCTGAAGATCTGATGGGGATCTTGGTAGCACAGTGGGTGCCTCTTCTCCAAACCTTCCTCCTCTGCTTGGGTTCTGATGCATAGGAAACAGGGATTGGGTTATAGCATCATCATGCCAACTACAGTTACTACGCCCGCCACTGGGCCCCAAGTGTGGCCCTGCCAAGTGCTTTTGGTCCTAAATGGAGACTACCATCTTCCTTTTCTTTCAGCAGCCTCTAGCTCACTCCTCGGCCATGGGCTAGCATAAGTCCATTTTGCATGCCTGGGTGGCATTCCCGCCTGCCATGCCCTGCCTCCTGGTTGGACTTCAGAGAAACTGCTGCCTCTTTTTAATGCTGTGAGAATGGAGCAAGCAGCTGCCTCGCAGGGTCCCCTTCATCCCTCCCCTGCATGAAAACATCTCCCTTTCTTTCCTAGTAACCGGCTTAGCAGGATGGAGCTCAGCTGGGCAAGACGCTGCTGTCAGTCGAGGCACTGGAGCACTTCCTTAGCAGGAAGCTGTCGGGCTGAATCTCCGTTCCAGCCCATGCACCGCAGGGCCTTGCACAGCTGTGAAACTGGGCATGTCTCTTTGGTTTGTCCTGTTCTTCCCAGTCAGCCTAGTTACCAGTTTAAGCAGGAGTCTTGGGACTGCTGCCCTCCTTCCCAGCAAGCTACCTCCCTTCTCTGTACCTCAGCTTCCACCTCTGTTCAACAGGGTTATATCCTGACTGGCCAGAGATGCTTTGGATCCAACACTGGAAGTGCCTGTCAGGCTGTTGCTATTTGATTGTAGTCTGTTGGCAATCAGGATTTTACCCAAGTCCCATTCATGTTGGTCCCCGTGAATGTCAGTGGCGTGCGGGCACTGCGTTCTCCTAGGCACATTTGGAAATCCCTGCATACAGCATTTTAAAGGCCCCAATCCTGCAACTGGACTCCACTGGTCCCACCCCTCCTGCCCTACCTGTGCCACTGATGGGGATGAATGGGAGAGTGTGTGTGTGTGTGTGTCCAAGGGCCCAATCCATGCTCCCAGTGACTGGATCCCATCTAAAGACTCCTATTCCTGTCTTCCAACATCCTGATGGTGACTTTGGGCTTGTTCCAGAGCTGGGACCCAGACCTCAGCACCTTTGCCAAGGCCTACGCAGAGAAGTGCATCTGGGACCACAACAAAGACCGCGGCCGGCGAGGTGAGAACCTCTTTATCATGATGGAGGAGCTGGACCTGCAGCTGGCCATGGAGGACTGGCACAGCGAGTACCAGTACTACAACCTCACCACCACCAAGTGTGCCACGGGGCGCATGTGTGGCCACTACACCCAGGTACCTGGATCCAGGGCATCTGAGGGGCCTTGTGGGGATGGGGCAGGAGCTGTCCCCGGGACTCGATCCCCCCTAGAGTCTTAGTGAACGTTCTCAGATGCCAGGGCAATGAACACAGCATACGGACCTCAGTAGAAAAGAAGAGAGATGGATGATGCTAAGCACAAATTACATAGTTATGGGGCATAGTGAACAGATTCTCATCATTAGAGTTCTGGTGGATAGGAGCCCTTGGGATGACAAGCCTTTAAAGTAACCTATGTATTTGAATGCAGTCCTCTGGTTACTCAAAACACTTTGGTATCAACTCCTGAGCGCACACCGTTAGGGATGGGAGCAGGCGTCAGGACACAGGCGCCTGGGTCCCCAGACCTCTTTAGATCTGGGTTTTTCCTTCAGTTGATTATGAAGATGGGGTCTTCTCTTGCAGAAATCGGTTGTGGAGTCTGAGCAGCACCAGAGATCGGGGCATCTGGGTTGCCCAGGCAGGCTCATCTTGTGGTCTCCCTTCTGATTCACCTGTGTGCTCTCCCTACCGTGCACCAACAGGCCTAACCCTCCTCTTTTTCCATGTTGGTTCAGGTGGTCTGGGCAAACACCCTGCGTATCGGCTGTGGGGCACACTTTTGTGAGACTGTGGAGGGCATTGAGGAACGTGACATGCACCTGCTGGTTTGCAACTACGAGCCCCCGTGAGTTTGCACTCACGAGAGCAGCTGTGACTGTATCTTGACTGATCGCATCTATTTACTCTAAACATCCTCCCCCAAGCTTGGCCCTTGCTATCCAGTAACTGGGGGAAGCCAAGGCGAAGAAATCCCTGGGCCAGCGAAATAAGACGATGAAGTGTGCAGTAAATGTGGTTGCCATTTTTTATCATTTCTAATCCTTATTAAGGGTCTTTGCATGGATAGACATCCACTGACTGTCGTGGGCTGGGGGCTGGAATTTTATCCTCTCTGTTGTCACAAACTCAGTCTCATTTTCATCTGCCTGTTCTGCTTCTAGTGGTAATATAAGGGGACGAAAACCATACAGGGAAGGATCCCCCTGTTCTCTGTGTCCCGAGGGCTACAAATGCATCAATTCGATGTGTGGTAAGTGAAGGCAGAGAGAGGATCTGGGTCTCTCACCAGGAAAGGATTGGACTGGGAACCATGGGTGGGCTGCCCTAGCTGCCCCCATGGACCAGGCCTCCTGAATCCAGCGGGGTTAGTTTCTGAAGGAGGAGCTGCTCCACGACTGAACAGGGGCAGATGAGGGATGACTGAATGGAGGGATGTAAGCTTAGTACTCTGGCAAAGTCATACCTGGTCTCACTATCACCACTCGAGGACTCTCCTGTACCGTAGATAGAAAAGGCTTCCAACCCTGTTAGCAATCATCTCGAACTTCCTCCAAGGAAGTCTTATTCCAAAGGGGTTGGGGTTTCTCACCTCGGATCAGACCAGTATCCTGGGACTGATCAGGGATGTCCCTGGGCCCTAGTATCTACCTTCCCTTGCTGCACCATGAGACAGAAGGAGAGGGGCAAATCCCAAAAGGGAGGCCTGTAGAACAGCTGCTTTTTTCCAAGGTCTTCACTGTCACACCACGCAGAGAGGCTGGGGTGCAGTTGGGTTTATGCTGCTCTGATGCTAACCCCTGGTCCTCTCTGTCTCTCATCAGAACCCAGTGTAGACTCAGAAGAGACTACTATACCCACCATGACAACAAAGCCTAGCCCAACCACTATCGCCAAGCTAGCACCTACCACTACCATTCGAACACGCGCCTCCACCACGTGCCGAGCACGTACCACAACCAAACCAGCACCGACCACAAGAAGCCCAACACCCACCACAGTCCCAATACCAGCATCTACTACTACCCCAACACCCACCACAACCCCCAAACCCACCACTGTCACAAAACCAGTACCCACCACAACCACCAAAACCAGTCCAACACCCCCCACAACTATAAGGTCAACACCCTCCACAATGGCAAGGCCCAGTCCCACTACAGAAGCTGAGCTGACAGCCTCCATAGAGCCCACTTTAGACCTGGACATTGAGACCTCTCCAGAAATGCAGGTAGACTCTGAAGAGGCAACAGAGGCTCTGCCTTTAGATCTGGACCTGACCTTCAGCCCTAATGCCACTCCAGAGGTAAATGGAGAGAGGAAGGAGGTCTCTTTGAGAGCTGAACAGGCTGTCCCCTCAGATCCACCTCCATCCCTTGAGCTAATTTCTTCAGAAGCTGATCTAAGCTTGGAAGAGGCCAAGCAGATTGTAACTACCCTAAAGCCAGTGCCCTCCAACCCTAAGGCGCCTACCCTCCTGCGTTTAATGTCATCTTCCAAAGACCTCACTTTCCAGTCCTTGTCAGGTAAGGAAGCTGTGGAGCCTGTCTGTGCCTGTCCCATCTTGAGCATAAAGACATTAGACAACTCCTGAGTAACACAGAATGCACTTGCTAGGGACTGGTACTGAACTGGCCTTCCAACTCCTACTCACGCAGCACAGACCCTGTTCCCCGCACCTTCCCCTGCACGGCACCACCTAACGTTGGCAAGGATGGCTGGCACCACCTAAGCTGTGAAGCATGATCCTGCCTGCTCCCCGGTGTTGCACAAACAGTCATGACCTGTGTCTTGCTTCCAAAGGAGCTGCGTGCTGCTGTCCTGCACCGTGGGTTGCCCTTGTCCATGTGGTAGCACGCCGCAGAGGGTGCTGCATGCACTGGGGTTGATTCTTAGCTGTGGGGTTCAGCCTTCACTCCCGGCTCCTTTCCTTCTCCCCACAGGTGCCAAGGAGACGGAAGACATATCACCAGACCTGACGCACAAAGATGGGCACCAGCCCAAGACTTCATCTGCCAGCAACATCCTGGAGCTCTCTTTTCTATTACTGGCCAGTTCCCTCCTGAGAGCCCTTCTGCTCTGAAGGTTCATTCTTAGCGATCGGTGCTCCGGTCAAGCAAATTCTCCTTCATTACTGACTGTCCCACTACACCGCTGGATACTCGGTGCACCATTGGCACAAGGGGGAAAGACCTTACTCAGCTAATGCACTCCAGTCTGATCCTAGTTATACTCACATTCAGGCTCCCTCACCCAAGAGGCCAAAGGCAGTCCTGTGAACCCATTATTCCCCAGATACCAATGAAAGGGGCATAGAAGAAAGCTCCCAGCTCATCTGTGGAAGGGCAGGAAAACTGGACAAAAGAAAGCTAAATCCCACTGTGTTTCTTCCTCCTTTATCCCAACCTGAAATTCCTTAGCTCCTACTGCAGCCTTTGACTGTGAGATGGGAGCTCCTGAATACTGGGCATCTCATCCTCCAGCCTAGAGTTACTGGGTTTGGAGAGGCCCATCTCCAAAGTGGAAATGATGGGCAATCCCACAGCTTGGTGGAGCTGGCAGATCCTCCCCATCTCATTCCATAGGAAAGGCACCGTGTGTAGTGTACAGGAAAAGGTCAAAGGTCCACCGACCCCAGCAGCCCGTCGGGCAAGTGGGGTGAAACCATTGCTTTCTGCCTGCCTCCCCCAAAGCTGCGGCCGCTGGTGCAGTGGATATGCAGGGAGCTCAGCCTGCCTGCTTCCCACCAGTCCAGCTGCAAAGAGCAGCAAGCTACTACACCAACCAGCCTACCTCTGAGGCTGTGCTCTGCCTCCCTGCTCCTCCTGCAGCCAGGCTCTTTGGCTCTGCTCCGTCCATTGGGTGTCCCTCTCCACGTATTCCATATCCCGTGACTCCTATTTCTTTTTTTGTGCATGGAAGATAGTTCTTCTGTAGTAGAAAAGAGGAAATGGCTCTTTATAAAGCTCCCATCAGCGTTTTCTGCCATTTGTGGCACGACTTTAGGATTGTTTCCCTGAAGTGTACGATGTATTAAATTAGATACAGATTTTGGTCTATGATATATTGCCTACATCAGGGGTGGGCAAGATGTGGCCTGCAGGCCAGATGCGGCCCTCCAGGCCATTTTATCTGGCCCGCGGGGCCCCTAAAAATTTTAGAAAATTAATATTTATCTGCCCCTGGCTGCCTGTCATGTGGCCCTCGATGGCTTGCCAAAACTCAGTAAGCGGCCCTCTGCCCAAAATAACTGCCCGCCCCTGGCCTACACAGTGTATATGTATATTAGTATGTATAGTATACTCCAAAATGAAGTGCCTTGGTAGAGTTTGGGCTTTAAGCTCATTTTATAGTCCAGGACTCGCTTTCACTCTGTCATTAGTGTTCGTTAGTTCCTGCCACTGCTGTATGTATCTTAAGATTTTTGGAAAGGTGTTTACTATATAGCACATTTCCCCTCACCCTCAGGTGGTCAAAGGGGAAAGTGCCACCAGGAATAAAGCATCCAGCAACTATTGGGTCCCTTCATTTTTCTAACAGATGAGATAAGGAATAGCATTGAAGCCCTTATTTCCTTCCTTGCAAATTGCTAGTGCTTTTCCAGTATGCCTGTGAAGTCTGTCTTACAATAAATGCCGTTGTGTAAACCATTGTTCTGGAGTGTACGGTATTTTCCTGACAGGGGCAGGGATCCCAGTTGCTGTGTATGAATTAAGTTCTTGGCTGCGTACTTAGCATTTGGTAAAATCGGTGAAAAGTAAAATGGCTTCTGTGGCTCCTCCCTTTTCCTTTTTTCCATTTTCTTCTGAATTTCCGTGGTGTTCTTCCCTGCATAGGGTCTTGCACTGCATGCTCCATCATTGCTGCAGCTGTATATTTGTGCATGGACTTGAAGACCTACAGGGAAAACACAGTTACACAGCTCCAGAGAGCTGACAGCAGTTTCCCTTTATTTCTTTTCTTTTCATCTTGAAAATATTAAAAAAAAAACCAACCAGTCACATGTGAACTTCCTCTCTGCAGTGCTAAAGCAAGCACTTTGATTTGCAAATGTCCACCAGGGAATATTAGACTATGGGCTGTCTGCCCTTCCGTGGTGAGGCTTGAGCTGTTAAATGTACAATATAATGTGTGCCTGATATATATGGCTGGGAACATGGTGAAATTGGGTCCTGCATGCTGAGATTTCCTGATTCTCATGTGTCCTGCTTTGTTCTGGTAATGCCGCTCTGAGGTCGGGTATGCTTCCTCTCTGTTCATGTCAGAAAACTCGAAAGCCCCATTTTTGTTACAGGAAGAAGCCTGTGGGTTTTTTTAGGTCACTCAGAGCCGCCAGCTCTATGAGCTTCTAGCCGGCAGGTGGCGATGGTGCAGATGCACCAGAAAACGAAGCAGCTTTAAAGTTGCTGAACAAACCCAGGGAGAGTTTGAACGCCTTATTTAATCAGAAAGATCAGACGTATTTAAATGTTAGATAAAAATAAACTTGTGCCCAAGTGACTTGGGTTGTATGTGAACTCAGTCCGGGCTGAGCTTCCCTAAAGCAACTGCTGAGGCACATGCAATAGAAATGCAAGCTTTGAGCCTGATGATGGAAATGCAGATCATGAGGAACCGTGGTGCTGCCTGGTTGCTCCTAGGGCTGAGCCTGAAATACAGCCTCTGCTCTGCATGGGGCAGGGATAGAGACCCTGTAAATCAGAAAAGGAACTGAAAAAATGCTCTTCCTCCCAGTAAAATGGCAGAATTGGGTAACTCCAATGCCTTGGCTAAGCCTGGCTCTCTGAATTGGCGACAGGGCTATCAGCTGGGCAGAGACCTGGCATTGCTAATTCTCCCAGTTGTATCCCAAGTCTTTCCAGAGAGTCGAGGGTTCATATTTTTTTAACCCGATTTCAGTGCTGCTGCCTCTTGCACAGTTCAGTGTTTCCTGTAAAGCTTTAGCTCCTGGAAGCAAGTGATTACATGAGAGTCTTATATAGAGAAGCAGGCTGTTGGGCCATCTGGCTTTAGAGGGCAGCTTGAAACTGTGATCTCTAAAGGCTCAGGAATCTGAAGGCAAATACCATCTTGCTTATATTTCTTTCTCATCTCAGTTTTTAAAGCCAATTCATGACGTTGGGGGTGGCAGGAGGAGAGGGCGCGTTGAGCAGTTGGAGCTGGCAGTCCTGAAGAGAAGGAGTGTTCTCGCTGGTACTGGGCTCTTACACGGCTTGGACCCTTCCCCTCCACCCTAGGGTGGCCATCGTAGAGGACAGTCCCATTTTCTGCTATTCTGTCCTTTATTGGTACGAAACCTGACGCCTTTATGCCCTCTATTTTTCAAAAGAAAAATAAAGGACATAAAGGCGTCAGGTTTCGTATCAAGAGGGGACAGAGGACAACAGGACTGTCCTCTATGATGGTCACCCTAGTCCACCCCGACACCCTGCTTTCACCCTATGTGTCAGCCCCTTGAGTAGAGCTCCTGACACTGCTGTGCTCAAGACCCAGGTTTCGCACATGCCCCCAAGGCCTCCTCACCACTTCATTTCTGGTGTCATTGAGCACAGATGCGACCAAGTGGCCTGGGGTTATCTGGCAAGGGTGGCCCACCCACCTTTTCAGGCTTAATGCACCAGTGCTTTGCAGTCGGGGACAGCCACTGCTCCAGCCTCCTTGTAAGGGGGATTTATTTCCAGCAGTGCCAACCTCCAGCTTGTCTTGGGGTGAAGCTGGCGCTAGAATATGGTCCTGCTGGGTTATTCTTAAGGGTACGTGGATGGTGAGAGGGACAGAGGAATGTGCTGGTAGTGTGGGGAGAAGCCTTGGTTAGCAGAGGAGGAAGAGGACGGGAGGGTGACGGATGCTCCACGGTGAAGTTGCAGCTCCATTCCCCGGGACGGGCAGCAGCAAGCATGCCTGGAGGAGGCCGCCAAGTCTTCAGTGCCCAGGCAGCTGGCAGGGCGTGAGGCTGAGAGTTATTCTGAAGCCAAGTCATGCACCAGGGTGGGAGCTGCAAGCACACCCCAGTGCAGCTGGGCCTCGTGG